CGACAATATGCATTTTTGCTGGCTGTAGCAGCGCTATAGCGCTGCACAGCAAAAACGCATAAAAACGACCTCTAAACGGAAATATGCAAAATTTACGATGATTTACGGTAATGAGCGGACAAGGTAGGTGTGAGGCAACAACCATCCATGCAGTTAACCTAATTACTTCCAGTCTGATGCAAAACTGTATGGTTGCACCGGAAAGGTTGGTGCATTCCAGCCTAAGTTAAATTTGTTAGAGCCATCCCATGAATTATCGAAAAAATAGAGATGGTGACCCTTCAGCAGACCTGCGTTACTTCTCCCATGTATTTTCAACAGGGCAAGTGCTTAGCTTAGGCGAATTAGCTTGAATCTTAATTAAACTCGAAACACTGTGAAAATTAAACACCCGTCCCTCCCCTTCGCCTCCCCCCCCCCTGCCAAAAAAAAGCGCGTCGCAAAAGACATGCATATGCCATGCATGTGTTAAATAATGCACACTAATGCTAGTTTACTGAGTTAGAGCTGAGAGGTATTAACAGCGGTGCAAATTAAGATTCAGAAATGATGACACAGGAGTCGCACAAATTAAGCAAAACTTAGCCGCTCATGCCTCTGCGTGTGCCTGTGAATTATTGATTATGACGATGAAAAATTCCGGAAATATTTAGACTTGGAGCGAAGTGTCACAGAAGTGTCTGCATTATCATTCCCGAACGCTTTGCCGCTATTCGTAGCCGCATACCATTTTATTGGGCATTTACTGAGCAGCTTCAGGAACTGCCTCCGGAAATGATGGCAGCATACAATATACACAACCGGATTCGCTGATGAACTGAAATAAAATTAAATCAATACTGGCGTAAATTAGGTTACCGGCGTGATCATATGTTTTAGAGCAAACTTTGAAGCAGACAGTTCGTTAACAGTAAGAATGGTCGTGGCTTTGCAGTTTAACATGTGCATACGTATTGGCAGTGCTTTTGGTCATTTGTTATGCGTTTTTGCTCTGCAGCGCTACAGCGCTGCTACAGCCAGCAAAAACGCATATTGTCGAGAAGCTGTCTGTGTGTGTGTGTGTGTGTGTTCGAAAGCGAGTGCATTTTGTCACCCGCTTTCATCTCAGCAACTAAGAAAGCTAGGAGGCTGAAGTTTCGGGTACATGTTCCCACTC